TGGACAATGAACCGATACGTGGTTTGACATTTGAAAAATTTGGTTTCTCGTCAAAGATTTTGTTGTCGGCCTGTTTTGGTACATGTTTAATATTGTCTAATGAACCGACACGTGATTTAACATTAGAGTATTTTGATTTCTTTGTTAGTGATACAAGAGAAGAAGATTTTCCTGTTGCATTATTATTATCGGATGAAGAAAATGTGGTGGAAGAAGGAGAAGAAGAAGGTGGTGATGATGGTGATGATGAGGAACAAGAAAAGTATAGAAACGTTGACGAAAATAGTAATGATAATGATTTTAAAAAAGTTATTAATTCACAAAAAATATCATCAAATGTGACAGAAAGAGTCAAATCAACCTTTAACAAAAATAAGATATTAATTAATGAAGATATAACGATTCTTCAAGAAGGTTTTGAAGAAGGTGGTGAAGAATATGAAGATGAATATGAAGATGAATCAGATGCTTCTTCAAATGTCGAAGACCCAATTGATGTACAAGAAGAAACCGTTCCTCAAGAGTTGAACGATACAGAATTATTATTTGAAGTTAACGTGTCAAGAAAAACCGTTCTTCTAGCTCAGCATGAATCAATCGTCGAAGAATCAATCATCGAAGAATCAATCGATGAACCAGTTCCTTCGTCTTTAAATACTATCGAGATTCCACCTGAAAATGAAAATAAAGATTTAACTCAACATCAACAACGTTTATACAATGAATCTTGGATATAATAATATTAATTGTATTTTTGTTATTTATATATTTATATAATATTATTATAAAAATAATTTAATGTTAATAATTATCAATCTATTATATGTTAATATGTATATTATTTATTATTCTAATTATTTTGAATGAATTCATATTTTAGCAAAGAAATAACATGTTTTAAAAAATAAAGTGGGATTTTCGTGGCCGGCCAAAGTCCTCACTAACATGGTAAAATACATAGAACTCATTCCATAACGAATAATTTTTTGGAGAAAAAAAGGTCTTGAATTTTCGTGCGACTATTTTGCTATATAAATAATAGCAATAGAAACTATAAAAGAAGCCAATACTAATGCAAATTTACACAAAGAACACTTAAAGAACGACAACTCTCCCCATCAAATAAAGTTTATTGTATCGAGAGAATCAAAATCTGGGGAAATTGTTAAAAATATCATACACAACAAATAATTGTATCATTTACATTGTTAACAAATCATTATTAATTAAGTTTTATTGAATCTTGAAACTTGGGCCATAAACGTAAGATAACAAAAAGCCACCTTCGCACTATTCATAATAAATGTAATGTAGAATTTATTAAATTGATTGTATATATAATAATAAACTTTTTTTACTCAATAATAATGACGATGTTGTTGTTATTCTGTCTACCTTTGTTTTCAGCCTCCAAGCGCCAAAATATATTAATATTAATATTCAATTAGGGAGAAGAAAATACACGATAATTGATATATCAAAAAATACCAAAAATTCTACATCCCCTATTATTAAACATTTTTTTTCTTATCTTCTCCCACAGATTATTATGAACGACTCGTTCGTAAGAAATTAATTGACAACCAATTTATTTATCGTTTACTTTTTTTACCAGTTGACTGTTTCCACATAAAGTTTCTCTTGAAAAAATAGATCTTTATTAAAATAAGTGGGCAGTTCGAGTATATTGATATATATTTATTTATTTACGTTCAATACTTTCAGTCACATATTACTATATTATGCAATTATAAAAAAATTCTATACACTTATTGAAGAAACAATAATAATAAAATTATATATAGGTGTATATATTAGATTAGATTCTATATGATTCCTTCGTACATGTATTTAATTTAAAATGAATTATTTAAATAAATATATACTACTTATTTATATATTAAAAATGGTGATTAGAGTAGTTTAATATACTCGTAGGTATATATTTAGTCAACAATCTATGTATCCATTCCTATATTTATAATACAAAGTTACTACCACTATATTTAATGCTGCAGTTGTCAGTATCCCCAAGGATTATCAACTCATATTCTCCAAGAGAATCAAAATAATCACTGCTACCGCCAAAGATAACACCTGCAGGCAAAGCAAGTTCTTTATTGTTATCAAATGGGATATTTTTACCAGGAATGTTCTTTGTGGTGTTTTGAACCTCAAGTATTTTATAACTGTAATTCCTCCTATGCTCACCAAGTCTGCCACCTATCTCTATGATTTATTCATTGGCAGTGAAATCGATTAAATCTTGTTCAAATCTACCTGTTCCCAGGCTCCCTCACTTATGGCCTATATGATCATGTGATAATCTTTATCACTGCACTATGTCTATCATAGACAAATCGGATAGAATCTACAACATCGCCGATTCTTTTAATATCAAATTCTGGGTTATCAATAATATATTCAAAGCCATCATGGTGAGTCTATAACTTGCCTCCCTCCATTTCTGATACATTTTTTACAGTTATTGTTATGATATTTATGTTTATTTTGATTACTATATAAGCAACTTTCTCACTAAAACCTATCTATATGTTTATTTTACATTAATTACCTAACATTCAGTGATAAAAAAGTTATAATAAAATCAAAGGAAAGACGACAAAGTTGTAAGGTATTTTAAATGCAAATTTTTTTTTTAAAAAAAAACCATTAAACGGAAGAAAGCTATCAAAAAAAGGCCAAAAATAGTACTAGTACTTTAAAGAACTGGGGTTCCTGATTCATCGGCTGAAATTGTTAGATCCAAATTGTATGTTATTATTGTGGTATTATTTATAATCTCCATACACTTACAGCGCAATCTATAAAGTTATGATTTCCAGAGGACAAAATGTTGGTGCGAGAGCTTTCTTTAATTAGTAGGATGATCGTTCTGTCCTTTTTTTGAAGATAGACTTTCACTGTTTGCCCTACTAAGTCGAGCATCATTGACTTACAATCTCAAACAATGAATGATTAAAAGTCTCTTAAATAGGTCGTGTAGAGGATGAAAGTATCTTCATTGTTAGCATTTGCAACTTTAATATAGGCAGTGACTGTTGTATTTTCAGGATCACCTTAGTTAAAGGAGAAATTGAAGGACTCGTTAGCAGTGTGGTGCCATTTTGCTAATTGTAGATAAAGCAAATGGATTTTTCTTTATTCTATAAAGAATAATAATTAATTTCATATAAAAAGTAAAATAATTCAAAATTAGATTGGACTTTACGCATTTGTAAAGAACAATTTCCATTTTTATTGGGAAAGTGAACCTTCAGAATTGACGACACTTCTACTTTATAAGAAATAAATAAATTCTATTTTTAATTAATTAAAATTCTATCCGTTTCTTTTTTCATGCTTATTTAGACACTTTTTTTTGTTACTGTTTCCATCTAAAAAATAATTAAAAGTATCATTTCTCATATTGATGATTTTCGTACCAGGTAAAAATTTTATTTTCTCAGTATATTGTTCTCTTAGTATTATTTTACAAAAACAAAGTGAATAATGATTATTATATAGCCTTTTTTATCCCAGTGAATCAAAATAAAGTTTGCTTACTGCATAGTAGTTACATAAATAATTCCAAAAAAGAAAATAATTCTCTGATTTCGGAGTTATTAATATATACTTATTAATACTTATTGATTGAGAATACATTGTCTATAAATATCAATAAAATAAGTCTGAGAGAAACTTTATCCTATTATTTGATATGGACAAAGGATCTCTATTCAACCAAAGCAAGAAAATGGTCTTGACTTTATTTCTACTCCTTCCGCTTGTGACAGCATCTATCATCGACGAAGATTATGAATCTGGACAGGACGTGTACGATGCAATTATTAACACGTTCTTTCCAGTATTTTTTGTCCTTCTATTCAATGTTTCAGGGAAGACTGGACCGATCAAAAATGTGCTGTTACCATTACTCGATGACTTATTATACAACACTGTCACTTGGGTGATTCCGCTGGTGGTTTCTTTGATCTATGATGATTTGCTGAGTATAAAGATATATTCTTTTGTAAACGTGGCTTTGCATGTAACTTGTGCAATAGGAGCGATAATTAAGCATAAAAAAGTTGATGATTGTCGCTATCTCACTTTTGATCTTATCTTTATTTTCTTGGTATTTATCCCAGCGATAGTAATTCCAACATTCTGGATTGTTATTATTACAAGTAGACATCATTTTGATCCAATTAGCATAGTATTCCTTACATCATTTGGGATATTGTTGGCTACAATATTCATTACTTTGATACTAATTTGTCATGGTAAGTGTTGTTGCTCAAAGAGATCAAATCAAGTACTTGAATGGAAGATTTTTCCTATATTATTTCTTCCTGGATGGTTTTATCTCCCGAATATTCTGCAAACATTATTTATTGTGTTAAAATGACCAATCGATTTTTACTTTGTCAAAGCTGGTTCTCTCTTTAACAAGGAATGTGTCCTTCTTTACAGAGGAGAAACCAGCACCTGATGACTTTCTGTGTACTTCAACAACATTCACTCAATGTTGGCTGCGTGAATTAATAGATAGAGAGCTAAAGAAGGATGAAAGTCAAAAGGAAATAATTGGAGAAACGAACAAATCAATGGCTAAAAGGATGGATAAAATAGAAAAATCAATGGCTGAAATGTACGAATCAATGGCTGAAAGGATGGATAAAATGGAAAAGTCAAGACATATTGATGAAATTGTGTGCAAAATAGATAAGCCACAATAATAATAGTAGTAATTTAACATTTAAAAAGGACTATTGTGCTGGATGACTTTGTCATTAACAGTATACGTGTATTTATTTACATTATATATAGAATATTTACAATTAAAAATTTTTGTTGTTATTTAATAAAAACATAGCTTAACCACATTCCAGATAGAAATATACCCATTTCCAAATATCCATAATAAAAAAGATCTAATTTTCATGTTATTATTATTGTGGTATATATATTATTTATAATCTACATAAAAAATTACGGTGCAATTTATGATGTACAATCAATATGTTGGTGTGAAAAGCTTTCTTTAATTGGTAGGATGATTGCTATGTCTGAAGATAAACTTCACTATTTGCCCTATCAAGTCAAGCATCATCGAGTTGTACAATTCAAATCTAAAACAAGAAAATTCTTACCAAACAACGAATGACTAAAAGTATCTTCAAGTAGGTCGTGTAAAGTAAGATGAATGAAAGTGTCTTCATTGAGTTGGTATTGCAACTTTTAATACAAGCAGTGGAAGAAAGCTGTTGTATTTTCAGGATCGCATTAATTGAAGGGGAAATTAAAGGATTCGTTAATTGTAGATAAAGTAAATAGGTTTTTTCCTTTGTTTTATAAATGGGTCAATTAATGTTTGTTAGTTTTAAATTTATTATAAAAAATAAAATAATCAATCTTTCCCATTTAGATACATTTGTAAAGAACAATTCAATTACTTTCTATTTTATTGGGAAAGTGAGCCTTCAGAATTGATGACACTTCCTAAGAAAGAAAGAAAGAAAGAAATAAAATTCTTCCCTTTCTTTTTTGTGCTTTATTTTGACACTTTTTTTTTGTTACTGCTTCCACCTAAAAAACACTACACATCTAAACTCGATAAGTCGGACATTTATTTATATTATAAAGTACTTTAAACAATTGATTGCTGCGTCCGACTTATCGAGTTTAGATGTGTATTCTCATATTGATGATTTTCGCAATTTCCAGGTAAAAATTTTTATTTTCTTCCAAAACAAAATGAATAATGATTATTATATAGCCTTTTTATCCAAAATAAAGTTTGCTTACTAAGAGTTACATAAACAAGTCCAAAAAAGAAAATATTTATCTGGTTTCGGAGTTATTAATTAATATTATTGATTGAAAATACATTATCTATAAATATCAATAAAATAAGTCTACGAGAGAAACCTCTTTTATTATTCGATTTGAACAAAGGATCTCTATTCAAACAAAGCAAGAAAATGATTTTGACTTTATTTTCGCTCCTTCCGTTTGTGACGGCATCTATCGTCAACAAAGAATATAATTCTGAAGAGGATGTGTATGATGCCATGCTTAACACGTTCTTTCCAGTATTTTTTTGTTCTTCTATTTAATGTTTCAGCGAAAAATGGACGTATCAAAAATATACTGTTACCATTACTCGATGACTTATTATACAATAC